GTTTGGCCAGACTTCACAGGCCGTCACCAGCTAATTTGACCCTGTGAATTCAGAACGGGAAGCTCAGTGAGTCACATGTGTTGGTTGGGGACACTCTGCTGAGTCAGACTCTTACTCTAACAAATGGGTGACAGTCACTTACTGTGGAATCAATCATGTTTAATCTGATAAACGGGGTAATTATTAGTATATATTACACTCGGTGTGGAGATTGTACTTTAGTGCCTCCCAGTGGCTGTTTAAACAAAAACATCACTGCCATCAGATTAAATTGAAAGATGTTGTAATCATATACAACATCTTTACATTTATACCTGCACCAACTGACAGCTGCTGCTTTGAGAGTGAACTGAAACCAAAACAATGAGCTGAAAGGTGAGAAAACCCACTTTAGAGTCAGGTGATGATTCTCACTACAAGTGATTCAGTGCTAATGTAAGTAGAGTCAACGTCTCGTGGTCGTTTCATCCACCAGGCAGCCAAGTTACAGGAAGCAGCCTCTCCTTCCTGAGTTACAGCGTTGAATAACGACCAGAAGTGATTTTACAGAACATTATGATGTCACAGTGAAGTTGACCTTTGACCACTTGGATATAAAATGTCATCACTTCATTTTATCCTTTTTGTGTCATAATTAGTGAATGAATTCATGAGTTGCTCGTTAAACATCTGAAAACCTGTTTATTTAACTTGGCTTTTAATGAATTCTCTCATATTTTACTTTTCTTACTGGTTACTTATTTTATTTTCATTTTAATATTTTATCATCTACTGTCTTTATATCGTCTATTTTCATTGTCCTTCAGTCTGCCCTTATTTTGTTGTACTATTTGATTTTTTTTTCTTGTAAAGCACATTGAGCTACATGTCTTCTATGAAAACTGCTATATAAATAAAGCATTATTATCATTATTATTATTATTATTATTATTATTAAAGTGATCTTCATGTGTAAAAATTAGTTCATTGCTCCTTTAATATTTACCTGTGTCCTTTTTTTGCTCTCTGCGTGAAACAGAAGAACGATGCCTCTGGTCCAGTCACTTTTGTCGCCTTTTCTCCACGTTTTCTGTTTCAAATAAAGAATAAAATACAGAAAAATTAAATAAAATTTCTACATACTGTGGATGAAATTTCTACATACTGTTGATAAAATATAGTGCAATCAATCATGAATAATAATCACCTTCCATCTTGTTTAAACTGAATTATGATGTGAGGATTCCTCTGCAGTGACAGCTGCGTCGCTGCTCTGGACTGGAGGGTTGTGTGTTGTTTCAGTCTGGTCTTGTGTCACTGCAGCAGCTGTTAATCAGGAGCTGATTGACTGTGACTGAAGACACTTGTAGTTTCTCTAAACTGAACTAATCAGTGGAGAAACAGCAGCAACAGCAGCAGCAGAGTGAGTCAGTGAGACTGAAACGGTTTGGGTCTGTTTAATTTGGACACAACAAAGACGCTGTATAATAATAACGAAATGTCACCTGCTCATGCATTGCTGTTTATTATTTCATTATCATTAATGGGTTTTCTTCATCTGAAACAGGGCTCTAATGACAGAGGCTGGTGCATGTTGTTCAGATTATAAACCCCCTGAGGAAAATTAGTGATTTGTATTATTGCGATAAATAAAACTTTGCTTGACTTGATTATAATAAATAAATTCAATAATTTTGAGCTGTGTTTCGCAAGTTATTTAGAACTACAATAAATAAGTCAAACTTACTAGTTTTTTCTAAAACTTAAAGGTTTGATTACATCTGCAGTGTAAACAAGCTTGTATTTTCAATTATGACCAAGATGAGAATATAATTAAACAATATTTTGCACCCATACCTCACACTCTGTAATAGCTCTGAAACTAATGTGTATTTCCCTTATCAATAACTCTTTTGTTGATCCTTCATTTAGTGTAATTACATTCAAACTTAACACTTAAAAATCACCTGATTTGTTTGTCCATCAGTCCAAAAGACAAAGATATTTCATAAACTATCATACATGTGATAAAACCAGAACACGAGCTGTGTTTTACTGCATCTGTTTGTATCTAGAATCAAAATGATCTGCTGCTCTCTGCTGGTGTTTATCTACACTGCAGCCACTGACAGAGGATTTCTGTCCTCTCTGGTTTGTTGTCACTGCTTTTAACTGTCAACTGAAATACAGCGTGTCAGTGGAATTTACAGTTGTACTCTTGTTAGAAAGCATCTTAAACTCTCTCTGATTCTATCAGTTAATGGTTATACTTTTTTATAAATTCAGAAACAAAGCCAATACATAGACTATTTTATAAAAGTAATTGATACCATTTTTTCAGGTTGTAACAGATATCCTTTGTTTTGTTCCTGAATGTTCGTCATTTTAACAGTTTTCGAGGTTTTAATTTTCAGTTTTTCACACCTGAATTTTTTACATAATTTTGGGGTCAATTCAGAAGCAATTCTAACATACATCTGTTCTTTAATCCAGGCATGTTCACCACAGTAATGTACATCACCAGTGGAAATGTCCTTTATCAGGAAATAACGAGACAGGCTAGCTGGTTAGCATGCTATCTTCAGTAGAAGAAAAGACGTGATAGAAACAAGAGTTAACATTGGTGTTTGTCTGCACCTCTGGAGACAGATGTTGGTGAGTAAAGGAATGAAGTTTGATGCTGAACTCGTAACGTCTCCTCTAGACTGTTAAGTAAACAGCCGCTAATGCTAACGTTAGTTATGTAGCAATAGCAAAACTTACATATAGCTCCTTTAAGTGCTGTTTTGAGAAAGTGAGTCAAACACCCTGTTAGTGAGGGGTGTAGACGTGACCTTTGACCTTAGACAGGAAATGAAATGACGTCAGGAGGGAACTGGAGTCCTGAATGTTTAATACAATACAGAAAACAGCTGTACAGTATACAGCGTGCACACACACACACACACACTCAGAATATCACTCGTATACACACACACGCACGCACGCATGCACGCACGCACGCACGCACACACACACACAAACGCACACACACACGCACACACGCACACACACACACACACACACACGCACACACACAGCCAAAGAGCACATGATGACTATAGCACACATTGCATTAACAAACACAGTGCTCAGAGGATCAAAGAGTTTTCACTGTCGGCCATGTTGGCTTCACCACTCAGCTCATTGGCCTTTGCTATAGAAACCGGTGTTTTTTTTGTTGCCGTCGTCACCATGGTGATAATATGAAGGGCACTGTTGTTTACTCGCAGGCAGGAAAGGTGACGGTTAACGGAGCTCCCGTCCATTGTAAAGGTAAATTTAACTCCCTGTTTCCATCCCAGTGTCCATGTTGTTATGCTAACTTATGGGTTTATTGGCCAAAAAGTACAAGACGATCCATGTTGTTAAAAAAAAAATGTCCCTTGCAGTGGTCACATGTGAACTCCAGTGTGTTTTTGATTGGTCGTCACTGATTCGCTGCTGCTCTGTCCTCTGTGGGTCCAAACTGTCAATCATGTTTGACTGATTAATTTGCATTTTTCATTTGCAGGTTTTCTTGATTCTCAGTGAAATTCTGAGCTGAATTTGGGTAGAAAACTAGCTAATGGAACAACTACATCTCATAAAGTCAGTGAAATGTCAGTTAGAGCGCCTTTTAGCTTCTGTGACGTATTTGTGAGTGGGCGGGTTTTATTTACCTCCTTCACCTGCACTGTCATTATGGAGACTCAGATGAATAAATTAGCTGCATTTAACCACATTATTTGGAACCTGAGTCACACGTCTTGATGAAACATTTTCTACTTGCACAGTTTTGCATCAGTTTACACTAATGCAAGTGAATTTGAATGTGCTTGTTTATTTATATTGATTTATCTGCATCTATCTCTGAAATTTGCTTTTAGTCTGAATGCACATTTTGGATTTTACCTTAAGCACAGCAAGTGCCGTGCAGGCTAGCATCTATGCGCTTTAAGCTAAATGCTAACATCAGCATGCTAACATGCTAACAGTAGTTACGCTGAAATACTGATGTTAATGCCGTGTTCCATTTACCTCGTTAGTTGGATGTTGGAGCTGGGAATGATGTCACATCTGAGTTGACCACGTCCGTCGGAAGCTTGTTGTTGTTGATGCTTGTTATTGTTACTGTTAGCAACAACAGCATTACATCATATTTTGCACATACTATCACTGTAGCAACAGTTCTTTGAGTACGATGGATTAAATGAGACACAAATAAGACAGAAGTGCGAATAAACCGTGCGTTACTACAGCTTTCACTTCTGTTGATGCGAAGAGCAGCCATCTTGGATTTTGGAGTTTCAAGGGGTTGGCTGATCGAGTTGAAATTTCCAACTCGGAACTCGGAAATTTCGACTTTCCTGTTAAAATGGAACGCGCCATTAGCATTTAGCACCACCTTAGTTTAGCACATTAGCATGCTAACATTTGCTGAGGCTGATGAGGATGACACTAGTGTTGGATTAGCTGTTAAAATGAATCCAAGCTAATAGTTGTTGAGATATTTCAGTCTAGTGGTGGACCGCTAACGTGGCTAAAAACAGCTCCTGAAGATATCGATTGACTATTGATTAGCAGCACTGAACATGTTTGATAATTTGAACCCAGAGCAGAGAGAAGAGCACAGGTCACTCTTTACATGTACATGTATAACAACACATCTGTTGCTCACATTCATTCACAAAAACCTCCACAGTTGCTTTTTAACAGCTCCATGACTCATTCCTGCAGATCGTGAACATGTGGCCTGTGTTTGCCGTGAGCCGAAAGCTCTTTGGTTTTTTTACCTGTTGCTTTTTAAATTTAAATGTAGATGTTTCCACTTGTTTTCTCTGAGTCTCTAATGACGTCACATGACACGTTCACCACTGAGAATGGACCGTGAAGCTGCTAAGAAGCTGTTGTCTGATGAATGTGATGTGTTCATGGTTGTTTGTAAACATAAGGTCTGGTGGCCCTTTTTTTATATGGGGGGGGATTGGGGGGGGGGGGGGGTCCACCGAAGTAAGGAGGGAAGGGGCCACTGAGTCGGCTGCTGTGTTTAAAACAGAAGAGTCTGAACTCTCGCTGTCACTGCACCGCGCCGCCTGTTGCCATGGTGATCTGCCACCACCACAGATATAGTGGTGAGTTTGCCGCGGAGTGTCATCAGGCGTTTTCAGGCACTTCATCATTGTCCTCCTCCTCTTCCTCCTCCTCCTCCTCCTCCTTCTCCTCGCCCAGCCGTGCCCCTGCAACAGTTACCATAGCAACAGGTCAGCACACTGTGTGTTTAAGTTTAGCAAATGTTTGCATTCGTACGGACATGAAGACCCTACTCTGCTGTCGCCGAGGGGGGTGGGGTCGTTCTCCCCCAGAAGAAACTGAGTTCCTTCAGAAGCAACAGTTTTTCATTAAGACTAATTAAAGTCTCGTCATCAGTCACTTTAAATGAACGTGCACAGCTCTGGTCTCTGACTTCATCTGCTGTCAGGAATGTAACATGACTGATTCGTCTTTATTTTGGCCACTGAATAAAATAAATGTAAGAAACAAAAACAGTTTTCCAATTAATTATTAAATGAATTATTTATGAAACGAGGAACACACCTGAATTTCTCCGTGTGTTTTAATTTTTCTTTGTGTTAGCTTTGTCCAATCATTGGCCTCTGAACCTGGCGGTCTGATCTGACCTTTAGCTCCGTGGTCGTATCAGATAAATGTAAATGTTTTACATCCCAATAAGTGATTATTTTTTAAGCTTAAACAAGTGACTAAACTGATACTAAATTAAGCTAATCAAGTTTAAACCATAACGATATCTATGTCTGCCCATATGAAATTAGAAGTAAAAACAGAACTGTGAAGCTTGGAAACCATCTCACACACACACACACACACATATACATATATATATATATATATATATGTATGCTGTATATCATCTATGAAATGTTAACATGTATTGTGTCATGTCTGTACCATTCCAGGTCAGGTGATCTGCAGGCATGTGGTCAGGTGACTTGTGGCCTTGTGTCTGATCAGGTGGGGATCCGTCTGAGTTCTGTGATTGGTCAGAGGTGTGTCCATCGGGGACGCTGTGGTTGGGTGAGGCTGGAAGAGACTGGACGTCTGAGTTGATGTTGGACTCCAACCTCTCCTGCTCCTCTCGCTCCTTATTGGCCAGTTCTGTGCACGACCCACACACACACACGATTCTTTATCAGGTTACCTATAATTTAAACCTTCCTGTGTGTGTGTGTGTGTGTGTGTGTGTGTGTGTGTGTGTGTGTGTATACCCTGAACAGAAAGCTCTTTCCAGCGGTCCTTGTTGCTGGCGATGACGCCGGACAGGTGTAGCCTCAGAGCCGGCAGGTCGATGGCGGTCAGAGAAAAGTCCATCTGTCCATCATCACTGTTTCCGTGGCGACCGCTGTTGTGTCTCTGCACCGACTCCACGGTAACAGAGCCGCTTCCTGTTAAACTGGAACAGAGCAGAGTTATGGACCAAGAGGAAGCACGGACTGAGAGTCAGATAATGAGATACAGTCTAAATTAACTTCACCTACATCATCAGTTTGACTGTATTGTGGCAGTGATAGCATCAGTACCTGGACCTCCTGTTTCCTGTCTCTCTGGCCTTCCTGTCCTCCTCTATCAGGGGACCAATCACCTTCTCCGTGGTGTCGATCAGGACGCTGAAGGTCGGCTCCACGATGAAGTCTATGAAACCTGCGGCCGCACAGAGAGAAGACAAACACTGAGTCCTCTTCAGCTCCTCACACCTCCAGCAGGTGTCACTGTTGAACCAGAGTTCATAAACACCGACAGCCTCCTGTTAAACCCTGTGATCTGCTGCTAGTTTACTGTGCTCCTCACCTGCCTGTGGTGTGCTGGTGGTTGTTCTTACCTATCTGTGATTGGGCGATCATCGTAGCTTTACGGTCACAGAGAGGAGAAAAAGGAAGGCCGAGCTCCACCTCTTTATCTCCCTGGAAAAGACACATGAACATGCTGTGTGTTTTTAAATCAACTCTGTGGTATTTGCATCTACTTTTTGCCTCTTGATCATTTTAAACAAAGCAAAGCAAACGTTCAGATGTTTACATGCTACACTCACTCACAAGCATTTTTAAAAGAAAGATAAACAACTTATCTCTTCACCTCAGCCTGTAAACAGCTCTGAAATTTTGCACTTTGCTGAGCACTTCCTTTAAATGCTGTATTTAAGTATTTATGTCTTACTGATTTTTTTCCCTTATTTTTCTTATTTTTTAATTATTTAATCTATTATTTCTATGATATAATAATTATTATCTCATTTTACATCAGTGATTTTAACATGTTCATTTCACAAAGTGCTTCACTTTTCATTTTGTATGAAAGATGCTAAATAAAGTTTATTATTATTATCGTACCGTGGCAGACGAGGGCAAACACACTGCAACGGCCCAAAACACTTCCATTAGGAGAAATGAGCTGCGAATTCAGAAACGATGCAGATTCAAGAACACACAGAAAAATACAAAACAAAACTGCTGCAAATGAAAAAACGTGCTGCAGGAAGCAAAAACATGAACAGCAAACACGCAGCAAATACTGAAACGATGCATCGACAAAAACACGAGCCCCCAAAACAAATTTTTCATTTCTCCTGATGGAAGTGTTTTAGGTCGTTGCAGTGTCACCCAGTTTGGCTGCTTGGCTTATGTAGTGACAAAGAGGACCAACATGTGTTTGGCTAACATGGCTAGCTTGGGTAGATCTGGCTACATTATTTGTTACACTTTTGGAAAGCCTGCGAAAAAGATGCCACCAACCAAACTCTTTAAATATGGAGCGTTACTCTTACTACAGCCTCATACACACTCCTGCAATGTATGTGTGTGTATGTGTGTGTGTGTGTGTGTGCGCGCACCTGTCTAAAGAACTCCTCCATCAGACTGTGAGTCCAGCGGTAGTGCAGCGGCCAGGCTTTGGCTGGATGACTAATGTCTGCAGCGTGAAGCATCAGAGACAAAACCTTCACTTTGTCTATGCTGCAGAGAGAGAGAGGGAACAGAGCCTCATGTAAACATCATTCAATAATAAACTGTGATTAGATAGATTAGATTATCTAAATCTAGTGAATCTGACTGTGTATGGAAAAGACCCCCTGCTCTCCTGTGTCTCCTGTGTCTCCTGTGTGAGGGGAGGACAGTGTCTTTTATTTCGTGTTGTGGTCACAGTGTTCAGAGCGCTGCTCTCCACACAGCTGCTGCAGCAGCACAAGCAGAGCCAGCATGTCGACAGGCTGAGGCCAGCATCTTCCCCAAAATCTCATTCAAGCGTGAGCTGGTGAAGCGTGACAGCTGCCCACACACACACACACACACACAGACAGACACACACACACACACCTCCAGCAGGACTGACACACACAGTGCTGGACTCAGACTCTGAGTTATTCCTGGGGAGGCCCCTTCAGGGACTCACAGACAGACTGTAGTTCAGCAGCCTGCAGGACGTTATGTTGGACCGTTTCTCCAGACTCCCACTGATGATCTGGTCGTCTCCGTCAGATGGAGCAGCTTCACACAGTCTGCCTGTGTGAGGCCGGCTGACAGACTGCAGGGCGCAGGTCTCTACATTTTGGTCTAATGATGAAGTCTGAGCTAAATTTGACTCACAGCCACATTGACGACAATCTGCTCCCAGTATCTTCTTAAAAGAATCAGAGCGTCACAGACTGTACTTCCACTTTATTTGAATATTTCTATCTCATGCCACTAATGAAGACTTAACATACAAAATATATGAAGAGAACATGATGCTGTATTATAGATTAAACTACATGTATCAACTCAGAGCTGAAATAATGAATGGATTATTGGATCGATTAAACGTGAGGATTTACTGCTTTTCACTGTTTTACATTCAACTATTCTTACATACAACATTACAGATCAGTAATGAAAAATAATCACTAGCTTCTGATAGTTTAAGGACTTTTGTTGATAATACTTAGGGAACTTTTTTAATGAAGGACTTTAAGTATTTTTACAGTGTGGTATTTGTACTTTAACTTAAGTAAAGGATCAATACGTCTTCCAACGTCTTGAAACCTGCTTCTCTCCTCGTCCATCAGAACTATTTAATCCTGTCATATAATTTTCATCGCAACACATATTGTCACATAAATAATGTCTTTATAAATGTAAAAAAAACTGAACTGTGTTTTAATGGAAGGTGAGAGGTCAAAGGTCGTGGCAGCAGCACTGACCTGTGTGTCTGTGTCAGGGCGTTCCTCATGGTCTTGATCTGCTGGAAGTGACAGGACATGTCTGTGGACATCACCATCTCTATGACCAGAGACCTCAGCTCCCTGCCAATAATCAATACACACACACAATCGAGATGATCAGTGATCCGTTACCATGACAGAAAGAGAGAGAGACAGAGTGTGTGTGTGTGTGTGTGTGTGTGTGTGTGTGTGTGTGTGTGTGTGTGAACCTCCAGTCGTCCTTGTTCAGGTTGACCAGGATGTTCATGTCCTCCTCTGCCATCAGCCTGTAGGCGGCGCTGACGTGATGGTTCTCCAGCACCGACCTGTCGTTGTACAAAATGGCCACCTCCGACCTGACGGACAGACACAACGACCAATCACACGCTGGCGTCTGCTGCTGCCTTTCACACATAGAGTCCCCGACAACAGGTTTGTGTTCTTGTTATTTCCTGGAAGGATAAAGTCGATCTGTCCTTCCACACTGAAATACTTCATCAACTATTGGATGGATTGTCATGAAATCTGATTATTGATTACTTACTTTCTTAATCACACACGTGCACAAATGTTCAGTGTGTGAGTCAGTGCACACACACACACACACACACACAACAGCAGAGATGCAAACACTGCAGCTCTAAGAGGAGTGTGTGTGTGTGTGTTTGTGTGTATTGATTCTATTCTATTAAGATTGAATACCTGCAAATCCATTGACATCCCCATCAACCTCTTTTGTACTGTGTTTAACAATTCATGCTAATGTTAGCATGCTAACACATTGAACATTACACCCGCTAAACGTCAGCATGTTAGCATGCTGTTAGCATTTAGCTCACAGCCTCTCAGAGCTGCATGACTGTAGACTGTCAGAGTTACAGTTTTAAAAAGGGTCATGTCGTACTTTCACCATCAGGTCCGGTCTGTGAGAGGAACTTCCGTCGTCCAATCAGATCCCACAGATTCATTGGTCACATGTCACCTGTCTACGTTACCTGGTGTGGATGTGGAAGTTGTTGGTGGTTCCCGTGTGTTCGAAGTCGTGAATCGCTGCAGCGAAAACCATCGCGAGAATCTCCAACTCGCTGAGCCAGTGCTGCACAAACACACACACACACACACACACACACACACACACACACACACACACACAATTTTAGTGTGTGTCTGTGTATTTGTATTACTCATGTTGTGCTGTGTATGTCACATTGTGGGGACTCGACCTCCTTTAGGGGACAAAGAACCCCTAATGTAATGTAAAAGTGTGTGTGTGTGTGTGTGTGTGTGTGTGTGTGTGTGTGTGTGTGTTACCATCAGTCCAGTGTGCAGCATCAGGAAGTGGGCGGTCTGAGTGACATCAGCGGCGTGGATCAGGTTGTGGTAGGGGTTCCTGTGTTTGCTGTAGCCGTTCTCCAGAGCTTCAACGAACTGCACCAGAGCCTGGACTGGGATCTGAACACAGGTGCTACAGGTAGTACAGGTACTGCAGGTACTGCAGGTGCTACAGGTGCTACAGGTGCTATGAGCACTTGACATTTCTTTATTAAAAAACCTGTAATCTTGAACTTCCCCTCCACCACATGCACCCTAAATATTTAATGAAACCAATCCATCTTAAATCCACAGACGGTGAAACTTCTAGTTTTGGAGCATGATCCTCTATGACTTCAGCATCTTGTAATTATGACAGCCTCTCATTATTACACTAACAATATGTTGCGATAACGAGATCATTCATTTATAATTGCCAGATCTGTATCTGTAGAATTGTTGTGTAATTCTGAGACGCTGAGTCACGATAACAAAAACCGGAGTCTCATAATTACAAGATACGGAAGTTGTAATTACATGATCGCATCTCCACTTTTCTTCTTTGGTGACAGTGATGTACGACTGTACTGTTTGTCCAATAAGAAGAAACACGAGACTATTTCTTCACTGGGCGAAGAAACTTCCTGGAATCAGTGGGTCACAAACAAGATAGAAAGTGTTAATTAGTGAGCTTCAGAGCGAGCCGGGCTAGTTGTTTCCCTCCATTTCCACTCATTGTGCTGAGCTAAGCTAATAAAACTGAAAAAATCAGGGTGTTCTAAAAAGTAATTTAAGCATGTCATGTTCGGGTTGCTTCTCCACACTTCAGGATCAGGAACACCTCGACCCCACAGCTCTTAATGATATGAAGTTGTGTGTACCCTGAACCTGTTGACGAGGTCATAGCGGGTCAGCAGGTCGTAGACCAGGAACTTGAGGGCGTGGTCTCCCGTGGCCTCGTGGAAAGAGAAAACATCGAACGACCACTGATCCACTTCCTGGAAAACAACCAGTAAAACATCATCATATAACACGGGGACGGAGCAGGTTGGATCGAACTGATTGGCTCCACTCACTCAGTCTAATGTGGTGTAATGAGGTGTATCTACCACCAGAGGGCAGTGTGATCATAATGTTAACTCACACTGGGAGGAAACAGGATACACAATGACATTAATGATTCTAGTTATTCATTAGTTCACAATTATGTTTGACGTTTTATTTTCCTTCCTTCTTCCTCTAACTCCTCCTTTTGGTATCTACCTTTTCTTTATCTCCTTCTTTCCTCCTTTTTGTGTCAATCTCCTTCCCTTCGTTATTGACTACTCCTTTTCAACTTCCTTTTCCTTCAGTACCTCCTCCTTTCTTCTTCTACCCCCTCCTTTTTGTCACTACCTCCTCCTTTCCTACTCTACCTCTTCTCTGCCTCCTTCTTCCCTACCCCATCCTTTTCTTCTCTACCTCATGCACCCATCCTCATCTCCTTTTTTCCTTCTTTACCTCCTTCCCTTTCTCCTCCTTTTGACCATTGTCTTTTCCTTGTCTGCATCCTCACTTCCTTCCCTTCTGTGTGGTTTTCTGTTTCTAACTTCCTTCTTTACTTCCCTCCCTACTCTTTTCTTCCTCTGTCCTCCCTTCTCCTTATCTACATCCCTCTTTCCTTCCTCACCTCCTCCTTTCCTTTTCTGCCTCCTTTTAATTTCCATTTAAGTCCTTGTTTATCACCTCTTTTCCTTCCTTATCTTTCTTCTTTCCTTTCTTTTCTCTACCACCTCACATTCTCCTCTGCTTCCTCCTTTTTTCTTTTCATCGCTAACTCTCCCTTCTTTAATTCCTCCTTTCATTTTTCCACCTCATATCATCCTCCTTTTCTTTTTTGTCTCGTCTTTTTTGTCTTTACATTTTCCTGCTGTTCTCCACCTCCTCTGTTCTTGCTATAGCACTTCCCTCCATTTCTTCTCTACTTCTTCCTTTTCTTTCTTTTCCTAGCTCCTCATTTCTTCTTTCCTTCTTTACTTTCCTTGTCTACCTCTTCCTTCCTTCTTTACCTCCTCCTTTCCTTTCAAATTAAAGGTTTTTTTACACACTTTTTTCAACTGGTGATTAAGGAAACAAAACTGACTCCCAGTGTCTGAGCTCTGACTTTACTGGACTTTTTTAACTTCCAATCAAACACGGGGTTAATACAATAAGATGATGTCACTTCCTGATGTTGGGACCGCAGCAATAAAACAGTTTTTACCTTTAGAGCAGTCAAGGCCGTGGGAGGATAGGTCAGACCTGCCATGTTGGATGTCCGTCTGTACATCCTGATGTCACACACACACACACACACACACACACACACCCACAAAGATAAAATCATCATGCTCAAATCTCACACACATAAACACAGACAGTTTGCATGCATATAAACACTCCTCACACACAGACCCACTCCAGCCGCCCTCCTCCACAGTTTGTGACCAGGATGGATTGTTTGTCGCCATGGTAACCGTCTTCAAAACACACACACACACACACTCACACAGAACGAGCGCAGCAGATATTTTTTGATTTCATGCGTCATTAAGCTGCAGCAGATGAACTGATACCATTCTATCACTGCAAGTCATTTACACTCTAATGATATTGGACCTGTGATAGTTTCCCTATATGTGATCTCCATCTCCAGCTCGCTCGCACGCTAACATCGTTACACTTCATGTTCGACCTTGTAATCACATCTGCGGCGAAGTCGGCCGGATGTTTTCTGGAGTGTGTTTTCGAAGAAGTTGTTGATTGTTTTCTTTCCTCCGACGCCGACGACATAAATAACCAAAAGAACATCTGAATGTCTTTAGTCTGAGACGATCTGAGGACTGGACTTCCAGGACTCACAGTTTCGCCTGTTATTAGCACCACGTGGCCAAAAGTATGCGGACACCTGTACATTCCTCCCATTTTGTACATCTTACTACATTAATGTTCTGCTCTAACAGCCTCCTCTCTCCTGGTCTCAGTCTTTCCACCAGATGTTGAACCAGCTGCAGGGTTTTTACTCCCATCCAGACACAGCAGCATTAATGAGGTTCAACACTGATGTTGGTCACGGAGCAGTTTGTTTCTTCATGTCATTGTTGTTATTTTTCTTAATGAGTACAGTTTGTCTTGCACTGGTTGTGTGTTTATTTTTGTGTATTTTGTGTCTTTTACTCTATGTGGTCTTTCAATTGCCGCCTGGGGACAAATAAAGTTTCTTGTATTGAACTGAATTGACTACCAAACAGATAAAGTCATTCCTTTATGGAGCCGCTTCGTGCACAGCAGCTCTGTCATGTTGAAACAGGGACAAACACAAACTGCTCACACATAGTTGTTAGAAATATCATTGTATTCTGTAGCATTAAGATTTCCTTAAACTAAGGAGCCAGACCAGGAGAAACAGCCTAAGACAAAATGTAATACATATAAGTATGTGAGGTGTCCATATACTTTTGGCCATGTAGTTTATGCACTAAGTCTGAATATTAACTCACAGATGTGTATTAGTCATTTTACAGTCCAGTACCAGTTAGAGTGAGAGTGGGAGCACTGGTGTAGCTGTAGCTGCATCACCTTCTTTCAAACATCTGCTGCAGATGTTTGGAGAAAAGATCTGTGGGATTTCTGACAATTGACTCCTGACAGGAGCGACGTTTACCTCTCCACAAAGATGCCAGCCTGCACTGCGTGGACGATGCTCCTGAATCTCGGCTTCTCCTCGGGGCGCCGCTTGGCCACGCCCATCTTCCTGCTGAAGGTGCACGCCAGCCAATCACGTACCTCGCTGGGCACCGACTCGGCCTGCAAGTCGCTGAGCTCGTCCTCAGTGTCCAGCAGACGCCTGCGGAGCAGAAACAAACACCTGTCGACCACAGCTTGGATCACCAGGGACAAAGATTTATTTACCGCAACCTCCATCTGCCCTCCCTCCCTCCCTCCCTCCTTTTGTTCCCTTCTTACTTCCGTCCATCCCACCTGGTCTCATCGGTGTAAACAGCGTCCAACATGGCAGCAGCGAGCTCCAGGTTCCTGCGGAGCTCCTGCAGGTCCACGATGCCCCGGTCCATCTGCTCCAGGACCCCCTTCAGCCTGACCACACACACACACACACACACACACACACACACACACACACACACACACACACACACAGCAGTTATTAGAAAATACACAGTCTGTATGAATATAATTATTGAATAAGGTGATTAGCTCGTGGCTCATGAATTAATAACAGTTTTAATTTTTGAGGTGTTATTTTTGGGTCTATTACGGTTCATTAGATGATGATGATGAGCTTGGGTAGATGGGGGGGGGGCCTGTGTGTGGAGAACAGGGCGTTGGTCCAGTCTCTGACCTCATGAGACTCAGCAGTGAAGGCAACAGTATCAGCGACTGTGGCGAACAGTCATTTATCTCTAACAGCTACACAACAGCCACAGGTATTAACGTATGTGTTGTTCCGATCATGGTGGAGATAAATTTGTTGACTCGTATGATCGTTTGTTCTCATATCTCACTGTGCGGCTGCACAAACAACAACACGTTTAGGTTCAATTACTGTGTTGAAGTCATTTTGAAATAACCAGACTTTAATTTAATCCACTTTCAACGACCTTTAAAATTTATTTTCTCCATCAGTGTCTTATCATGAGATACAGTCTATAACATGAGGACTCATTTCTGCCAAACGTAGAACAGTTTTGATTATTTAATCTCACAGATTTCTGCTTTTCTCACTCGTCCAAAGGGACAAAAGGTGGAAAATGTTTAAACATTTGAATCAAAATCTGATGTCAGTTGTGTGGTTGTTTGTTTATGTTGCCAGGCCACTGTCAGTCACACCTGATCCAGCCTCACCCACACAGTCCTGATGAGGAAGAACTGCTGAACTCATGAAGAACACCTAAGACACCTTCTCTCTGTTCTTTAACGTCAGTCGGGACTTTATTTCTGTTACAGAGAAAAGTTTCAGGTTTGACACCAAGTTTTCAAAGGGTTTAAAGTTGTAAAGAATGAAATGATGAAAGAGAGAGACAGAGCTCATCCAGCAGCATCTGCTGGTTAAAGAGATGAGACTAAAAACACGACTGTCACGACACACTGTCACCATCTTGGCAGTGCCTGACTCCGCCCCTAACGACAAGCTAATCCAACAACCCCACCTGTAACTCGAAGCGCCACGCCCTCAATCCTCCATAACTGTAGTCCTTAATAAAATGTAATCAGGTGAGTTATATAAACAGGTGTCATGAAGGAGGAAATCAGCTCTAGAGACCAAAACAGTTTTTGTACCAGGCTGTAAACATGATTACTTCTGCTGTAAAGTTTTAACATGGGAGTCTATGGGGACTGACTCACTGTTGGAGCCAGACTCTAGTGGTCGTTAGAGGAACTGCAGCTTTTAGCACTTGAACTTGTAGAAAGTTGTTGCTGCTCTGTGCTGTATGTGCCTGTTAACTTAATGTCCTCTGTTGTGACGTGTGTTATTCTACGTAACTTCAGCCCAACACTAGTCCTCATCCATCGTCTGTGCAGATACATACACCTGCTAACAGACAGGAGGAAGCACCGCTCCTCATACTTTGCCCCCACACAGCTGCTGTCCTCTTCACACCGCACAACGGGAACATGAAAATCTGTTTCCTCCAGATGGACACATGACATCTCTGCCTCCTGTCAATCAGCTGACACCCACAGCTAGTAACGGGAGTCTCCTCCAGGAAACAAACATGTTGTCTTATAGACTTGTAGCTCGCTCTGTCTTTGTCAGTCGGTGCAGCAGCTCAGTCCTGACGCCCTGAGCTCAGATAAACACGAAGCTATCTTTGATATTAATCCTCTCATCTAAAGCCCCATTCAGAGTGGATTAATTTCTCTAGGGGAGGTGGGGTGATTTTAACATCACCTGCTCCTGTCGGTGGTTTTAATCCTGTCCAAAGCACGCAGGTGGGTAATCCCCCCCCCTCCCTGTAATAATTATAGCTGCACTTTCCTACTGTTGTTCTGTGAACTCGCTGGTCCTCCTGTACTTTAAAGCTCCTCCAGTGTTAAGGTGTCTGTCCATGTGTAGTGTGATTATAGATCAGCTCTAGCTTCTATATTAATACTGTGAAAGTATCAAAGCCTCAGTCCACAGAGAAATGCACACAGCCTGTATTCAGAAACTGAGCCTTAAAACCAGCCGTCAGGACTTCTGGAACTTTGTGATGTCACAACAAAGCAGTCACCAAGCCCCGCCCACCTGGACCCACCATCCAAACCTTGCAGGATTTGGTTTCTCTGAGTGTTTTTACCTGAAATCTGCTATATTTTTATTGGATCACTCAGAAAACAGTCAGCCAACCAGAAGAGAGGCTCAGAGCCTCCTCTCTTCTCTCCTCTCCTAAACATAAAGGAAAATTTGGGAACCAATAGGACAACAGAAAACATTCAAACCATTTGATGAGCACCCTGCTTGGGAAGGCAAAAGCTTATCATATATGCTGTTGTAATATTCTCTTTTGAGCCCTGTGATTTTTGGCTATATCTGTGAATATCTTTGATTGACTGACTGACTGAGTGACAGAGTTGAGTGATTACGCTGCACCATTGGTCAACTGAATGTTGGACTTCTCCCATCTGATGTCAGTTGCTCTTTCAAAATGATTTGGTGCAGGTTTTAACTACAGTATAAAGGTGGCGATGGCTCTCTCTTGCTTTCTCTTGCTCTGTGTGTTTTGTGTTTAGTCATTCCTCTGTCTCCTATAGCAATAATGGTTAATTTGCCGTCAGGGAGGAGAGGCCCAGTGAACTGGAAGTGCAGCTCTGCTTCCCGGCTGCTCCCTAACAGCCGGGATGCCAGGGCGGCTGGGTGACTGCCCGGAACAAGAGGCGTAGCCCTAAGCCCACAGTTCACGCCACGATTGTGCCAACAAAGTGTTGGAAATGGCATGGTTACACTGTTGAATTTATCAAATCATTAAAAGTGTATCCACGGATGTTCAGACAACCATCACTGGATCAATGTGATACTGAAGGAAACTTAAAAACATGACGACTCCCAGTGAAGTTCTGAAGCATTTCTGAAGCAGATTTGAGGTTTATTCTGGACAGACATCTGAAATAACGATATCCTCAGGACGTGTGAGCCACACTGAATGATATCAATATGTGTTTCATGATTTTTTGACTGTTTCACTTCACACAGTATTTCTGCCTCCCCTCAGCTCTCCCACACTGTATGTCCACGTCTATTTCAGACCATATCCTGTAATTTCCCGCTGGTTAAAATCACTTCTTTAAGTTGAGCTTGACTTGGAGCACAGTGAACACTTTATTCTCCACCTCACCTGCAATGTTTTTAATTGGGCTTGAGACGAAAAACATGTTTCCAACCACACTGTACCATTCATTTAAAAAGTTCCTTACTTTTTTAGATTTTTATTCTCAATATTTTATATATAGGTAGAAGCTCATACTATATATCCACCCAGCTGCTACCTACAGTCCTGGTGTATGAACAGACGGATATTAACGGACAGATGGATGGATGAAATCATTTCTTCCTGCAGGATAGAGGGGTGGTTTGACTGTTTACAACGGAGGAGACTGACAACAGGGGAGACATAAAGACTCCGCAGTGACCAGGCATCCTGCCGTCGTCACGGTAACCAAACACCTTCTTGTAAACTGGACGAAATCTGTTTTAGTTGCCATGGTTACAGCTGGAGTCAGAACAGGGAGACGGGGCGAGGGAGAACTAAAGTTCAAGACTGCAGAGACTCAAGCTTCTCGTTTTCATCAAAGATCCTTCAGATTTTATTGAGTGGTGAAGTGTAATGAAGTACAATTACTTGAGTACAGTTCTGAGGTACTTGTACTTAGTTTCAAATAAAACCATGTGAGAAGTTTAGAGGGGAAATGTCAATGCAACCCAGCAACTTCTAAAACATGACAAGGAGACACAACAACACACAGAAGGTTTAATCTTTACCAGTGCACTGGATTTTATAATCATATCTTTTCTTTATGTAAAATCTTAATCTGTGATATAACCAGTAACTAGTGGTTGAATAAATGTAGTGGAGTAAAAATCAGTAGAAATATATCATAAAATGGAAAAAGTTGAGTTCAAGTAGCTTGAAAATTGAACTTACTACTTTCAACAATTGGTTTTTTAAACATAGTTTTTCTTATTCGAGTCCCTCCAGCTTTTTTTCATCATAGAAAGAAGCTCTGAACTACAAGCATCAGCTTTTATTACATTTTGATAAAAGTACAAGCATGACTGGTTCTCCAGGCTGTCGCTCCTGCACTGCATTTTCATTTCAAGTTGAATCTTTCTCAGCCAGTAGAAGTACTAATCAAAATACTCCATTACAAGTTACTGTCCCTGTGACTGCTCTGTTATTATATATATATATACTGTATATATATATATATTAGATTATTGTAACTGATCCATTCATTTAAAGGCAGGACTTTATTGCTGTAGTTGCTTGAGGTGCAGCTAATTTCTATATATTTTATTTTGTATAGTACTATAACTAATGATTATATTCATTATAGATTAATAATTAATCCCCTCATCTTTTACTCGATTGATTAATTGATTGATTGTGTCGTTAAAAAGTCTCCAAATAGTCAGGAACGCTGTCCAGAGCTGCAGGTCACATCCTAATGTTTTGTTTTGTCCAAATTATTAAAAATAAATTGAAACAATCAAAAGAAAAGCAAAACATCTTCACATGTGAAAATCTGGAAATATAAAACGTTATAATTTAAACAATTATCAAAATAGCTGCCAATTAATTTTCTGTCAATTGACTCATAGTTTAATTTAATTTTGGTAGTTTAATTTAAAAGAAAACATCATATTTTATAAGCTCTTCCTGTTTGGGGCCGAAACATTTGCAAAGTAAATAAAGCTGTAAAGATAAAGATCAATATAATGAAGTAAAAAGTACCACAGTACCACAAATGTGCACTGAAGTACATGAGTAAATGTACTTAGTTACATTCCACCATCATCTGCTTGACGACTGTTTAGTCTTGAATCTTGATGGACAGACATCGTGATCGATATCAGTGCAGTGAATTCTTTTGGCCTCGATAATCGTGTGGTAGTTTACAGAACATTATACTCATTTGTAGAATTTCGTCTGTTTAATAAATGTCTGAAACGGCATCATGACCCCTGTCACCAAGCAACAAGCAGACGCAGCGTTAGGGCTGAACGATACGCACACAAAAAAAATCATGTTGCAATTAAGATATGAGTCATGATTTCAGTTGGAATGATCATTTTATTTTCATTTAATTTTCACTGAAAAAAGTATAAAAATGATGATGATGTGATTTGTGTTGGTTCTTGTACCAAACAAACATGTTTCCTTTGTGTCTGGAGAATATGATTTGTAGACAACACAACACTTCACTTAAGGTCTGTGACTCATTTTACCTTCATCAGAAAAAAATTTGCAGCTCCTTCGATTTGGATATTTCACTCATCCACATTGTGATTTGGACAATAATTCAGACACGCACTCAGTCAGACAAACAGTGTGAGAGGGTTTGTCTGTACAAAAATAGACAGACACAAAAAGACAGGTAGAGACAGACAAGCAGTCCAGGTGTGTGTAGGAGGAGTGAGAGCCTCTTCAGTCCTCTACTTCAGACTGAGAGCTTCCTCTGTGTGTGTGTGTGTGTGTGTGTGTGTGTGTGTGTGTGTGTGTGTGTGTGTGTGTGTGTGTGTGTGTGTGTGTGCGTCTTACCTCTGTGATGTACTTTTATATTTCTGCCTGTAAACAGAAACAAAAACACAAGAGTCACTCAAGTGAACCAATCACACGCTGACTTCACAGTCTTCATCATAAACTCATTAAAACTGACCATGTGAACGTGTGTGTGTGTGTTCAGGTGGTCAAGGCCAAGCCCCCATGAACATATCTGAATGGTGGCCACATTTATCTCTGCAGAGCCCTCTTATCCTCACAGTCAGCAGCTGCAGCGTCTCTGACACACTCAGCTCATCCAGGCTGTTCAGCTACTTTCAGACCATTTGTGCCCGACTGCTGCAATTTGCATCAGAATGATCTCCTTCCCAGTGTTATAACTCAGCCACATCTGAACACAGAGACGTGATACACACATTTTTAGATTCAATATGACCTACGCTTCCCGTGAAGATCATTATTCCTAATATCCGTTGCAGATAAATCTCTATAAATCAACTTTAAAAACAGAGCAAAAAGACGCTCCTTTTTAACCCTAGAAGTTGCCTGAGAATCTTCCTGTTTTTAAGTTTTCTTCAGTATCACAGTAAAACAGTGACTGTCATCTGTACATTCATAGATATATCATATACAGGAACATTTAATAGATAATTCAGCTCACTTTTAATGGTGCCAATTTACCAAAAGGTGAAAGAACACAACATAACTCACTGACACCGTGGCTTCATAGATCAGTAGACAGATATATACTATTTATCCCATAGGTGAAAATTCAGGATGTAATTCATGTTTACACCCCCAAAAGCATTATGGGAAATATAGCAGTACATGGTTGACTTATATGTGCTTTATCCACCAAGTTAAAATAAGACATCAAAGAATAATTTGAATCCAGTAACAGGATAATTATTCCTGCATTATGCTGAGGAGGACATTGATGTTTGTCTGACAAAGACCTTGGAGGTCAAAAAACATTTTGGAAGCTTTTATATTTCAGTGTGTGGACAACTCCTCCTTTATCTAAAAACACAGAAGTCTGAGGGAAATCTTCTGTTTCCTTTACCACAGTATCCACAACTATTAACCCTAATGTTCAGACTGAGGCGGTGGAGACCCCAGACCTTCTTAAACAGCTCGAAAAATATAGTTAATATTATTTTATCTGCCTGATTCTCAATGACTTTTCCTAATTTTATAAAAACCACTCAGTCCTCAGCTGTAAAACATGGTTAAATACGGCGGATTTTCACCTCCTGCTTATCTATGATTGGTCTGTTTCAAGTCACATGTGAGGATTCATGGGATATAACAAAAAATACATTAAAAAAATTAGAAATAATTAGGTGTTAGAAGGATGCTTCACGCTCATTTCCATATTCTGTCACCTTCAGTAAATGTGTAAACCCAGGTGGCAAAGTGAAGGGTCACGACTTCATTACTTTTCCTGATATCGGGTTTTAATAAGGTCAGAAGAAAAAAGAAAAAATATATATAACTACTATTAACACATGGTGTGTGAGGGAGAAAATAACGCCGAGGTTCAACACAACACAGGAATTAATAAAGCCATGGTCGAGGCTCGCTGCTAAATCCGTTACATGAAGTGGACCGCTGAAGAAACCCCGCTGGGATTTCAGTACATGCACCAGATATAAACTCTGCAAGTTGATGTGGAGCATTTGGTCTGAAATTAGCCAATCACAGCTGCGGGATCTGACCCCGACAGCTAATCACAGCTGTGACACGTCTCAGCTTTGAAATCTGACAGCAGGAACCGGTTATTTCATGGTCGATCTGTAATTGTACACTGGCCTGGCGTGGGCGGACCAGCGCTAAATTACAAAGCGGGGTACGGCGCAGAGAGCAGGTTTCTGCACTGTGGGGTTTTTTTAGTCAAAAAAACAAAAGTGTGCTGCAGAGGCAACATTGACAGGTGAGGACAGAGATGGTTTCTAAAGAATGAGTCACCACTCTGTCATGACTTCTCCGGGCTGACGCCTTCAGAGAAAGAATTAGCATTTTCTTTTTCTTTCTTCTTTCTTTCTTTCTCTACTTTTCTTTCCTTGAGCTGATATGTTTTGTACTTTCTCCTTGCACATTTTTTTCCTCGCATTATTAGCACCGCTGAGCATGTAAAGTGTATTTTATTCTTAGATGCATTACTTCTCTGCGTGAGTCTGTTAGCGATGCGCCACCGCAGGGTGCATTTCGCGCTTTTTTAGCACTTAACTCCATCTACACCGCCTACGTCAAGACCGAGCGCCGGGCCTGGAGGAACAGCAGTGCATCCATTAAAATGAAACAGTCTGATAATAAACCATCTGCAGCGTGCACACACACACACACACACTCACACACACACACAGATATATAAATGTATATACAAAAACAGGGACGAATTAAAGGAAAAACCTGAATAAACGAGTGGAGAAAGATGCCTCCATCCTCAGGGCACGAGGTCACTGAGGCTTTGATGAGTATGAAAATGATGTGAGTCACCAGAAGAAGCCCCTCTGGGATTTACCACCAGATCTGGACCCAGTTCAACACCTATGGGAGACTCCAAATGAGAGGATATCTTCTTTAGGAGAGATGGTTCGTCCTCCAGTAGAGTAGGAGAATCAATAAGACACTTTATGTTTAGGTTTTTCCTTTAATTTGTCACCTGTCTGTATTTATCTACTACATATAAAGAAGAATGAAGAGCAAGAATAACATGGTTGGTTTCCACATCGTGCATGTCGTTCTCCCTGTTCGTTTTAATTCATTTTCAGGTGACTGGAGTTCAAACAACAAGCTAACCTGCCTTTTAATCTGTTATTATTGCAGCAACTCAACTGTTTCAATTGGATTTCTATTTCTATTTGATGCCTCATAAAACAGTCTGATGAACTCTGCGGAGCACGTTGTTTCATCAGTAAAAAAAAATAAAAAAAGTGAGGTTAATTAAAGAAAATGAAATGAATACAAAATGGATGAATAAAATGAATAAAAAATAGTCATTTTCTTCTCTTTTTCTCTTTCTCTTCAGCAGAGAGTTTGCTGCATCAAAATGCTCTCCTGTTACCATGGAAACTAGGGAACACGACAAAAAGAAAAAAAAAAATCTGTACACTTATTTGTTTTCCCTCCAAACAGCACAGATATTTATTGTTTGTTGATCTGGAGATTTGGTTTATATCCATCAAGAAGAATTAATCTGATCAATCAGGAGATAGAAGAAGACACAGAAGGGCTTTTAGTGGTTCAAGCACCGTTGGCACAGACACACAAAAACACTCAATATGAAACACTTGACTTCGGGATAAGAATGATGCATCGTCTTATTTGTGGTTCTAATGGAAGTTTTTGAGCCGTTTGGTTTGTTTTTGCTGCACTTTCGTTAATTTGGATAAAACTTGTCAGGAGCATATTTAGTGTTACTTAACATCTCAGTGGATTTCAGAGAAACTGAACAATCAGAAAAGTTGCGACTGCAGCCTCCGTACCTGCAGTGTTAGTGTCAGTTACAGTTACTTTCTTCACCTGAACCGTTCAGCTGATTATTAAACCTCATTATGTCCTTTGCACTGAGCATAAGAAGCTTCCACCTATTGAAAGACAGCCCCTTGATCCATTTTTAGACTTGTTTATTAAAGCTCCATCCAGTGTAAAGGTCTGTGTCCATGTGTAGTGTGATTATAGATCAGCTCTAGCTTCTATATTAATACTGTGAAAGTATCAAAGCCTCAGTCCACAGAGAAATGCACACAGCCTGTATTCAGAAACTGAGCCTTAAAACCAGCCGTCAGGACTTCTGGAACTTTGTGATGTCACAACAAAGCAGTCACCAAGCCCCGCCCACCTGGACCCACCATCCAAACCTTGCAGGATTTGGTTTCTCTGAAATCTGCTATATTTTTATTGAATCGCTCAGAAAACAGTCAGCCAATCAGAAGAGAGAGGAGACAAAGTATATCTTCTTATGGATCAACACTTCAATAAAACACAGGAGAAGGGGAAAATCTGTGGCTTTAAGTCTTTGATCAGAGGTTTACCGATCTCAATCAGGAACTTTCTCTAAGTTTGGCCCATTTCATTCAAGTGACTATGATAAATATTCAATATGAAACCAACGTTAAAAGATGGAAGGGGTTGATCATAGTGATGAACCTACAGAGAATTATCAGCTCGACCTGCAGCCGTCCTCATCCTCACAGAGCTTCACAGTGAGTTTCAGCTCGTTGTTTATCTGTCCAGACACGACTTCACCGTCCTGGACTCTCGCCCACTCTCATAGCCCTAAAAGCTGCACACTTCTTTCTCAGCAAACAGCAGAGAGACTCAGTCAGAGAGCAGCTGGTGAACATAGTGGAGCATTTAGCAGCTAAAGAGCCAGATATTTCCCTCAGGAGCTGGTGGAGACCAAACACAGAGCTAAAAGAGAGGGAACACTGGACTGGCTAACAGGCTAACCAACTTAAAGAGATGATGATATGTCAAAGTTGTGTTTCCGCTGCCCCAAAGTGGCAAAAAAAAATCAGTTACAGAGGTTTAAGTATCAAAGAGTATTGTTTTGATATTGGTACTGACAGTTAGGTATTGTCACTGATGTCAGAAATATGTGATATCTGTATCTGCTGAAGGAGGCAACATCAACATGTTTACAACACGAGTGAGGCAGTCTAGGCATCTAATGTACCTTTAAAAACTATCATAATTTGCATGATTTACCAAATGCATGAGTTCTTCATTCTAACTCTTTTCATACATGAAAACATATGGAGAAAAAAAAGTAAACTGTTATACGCCACAGTGTGTAGCGACCGGTAACAACCGCGCCTGCCAGGTGTCCCAACATAAGTTCACTGTGTGTGTGTGTGTGTTGTTGACTTGAACGCCACTTACAAGTGGGATGGTAACTAGAAAAACTACAAAAGAATAAATCTCCTCTAAAGCAAAATAAATGGAATAAAAAATAAAACAAAGTTCTGTTTTTACTCGTTAAGGCAGAAAGTTCTGCCCTCAGAGTTTTTCCAGGTTATAAAATGAGCTTCTGTGTTCAATTTTAATTTTTACACCTTCAGTGTTCCTCTCTCTTTGAATCACCGTGGACAGATAACACATCCACACGCCAATGTTTATTACAGGATTTGGCAAAAATGAAATGCGCCTCTTGGCTTCAACTTTTTCAACCAACACACAAACTTCTGCTGGTAAATTCTTTTTTTTTTCCTGTGATCTTTTGCTCTGTCGCCAACTAGTTACTAATACAAGATGCTGTGTACCAAGTTGGGTCTGTTAATCACGACGAGAGCTGCCAAGGGGCATAAACCTGTGTGTGTGAGTTTTATGGAAGTGATACCACACACATTTCACTTCACTGCTGCTGCTGATGCAAGTAACGTTCATTTATGACTCAACAAAGTATTACTATTAGTAGTAGTTCAACCAATCAAACAGATTTAGTGTATAAATGTAATGAGTGGAAATAAAAAGCAGCAGACGATGGAAACACTGAAGTAAAATAAAAAACTGTAGTTAGATATACATTAGTACCCGAGTAAATGTACTCGGGTAAGTTACTCTCCACCACTGGTTATAGCATGTACTGTGTGTCCTGTATGCATCTGATGGTCTTAAAGGTCCTCCAGTGTAAAGGTCTGTGTCCATGTGTAGTGTGATTATAGATCAGGTCTAGCTTCTATATTAATACTGTGAAAGTATCAAAGCCTCAGTCCACAGAGAAATGCACACAGCCTGTATTCAGAAACTGAGCCTTAAAACCAGCCGTCAGGACTTCTGGAACTTTGTGATGTCACAACAAAGCAGTCACCAAGCCCCGCCCACCTGGACCCACCATCCAAACCTTGCAGGATTTGGTTTCTCTGAGTGTTTTTACCTGAAATCTGCTATATTTTTATTGGATCAGTCAGAAAACAGTCAGCCAATCAGAAGAGAGGCTCAGAGCCTCCTCTCTTCTGATTGGCTCACCGACCTGTTGTTACTAGAGCTCCAGAGAGAAGCCTGAGAGAGGAGATGTGAAACTACACTGAGATGGTTTTTATATCTTCTGATGGATCAACACTTCAAATAAAACACAGAAGAAGAAGAAAACATGGAGCTTTATCAGAAATGTTGAGCTTTTCTACGGACTGGCTTCCTGGTCTGAGGAGCGACGAGGACGAGAACTCACTCTCATGTTGTCAAGGGCAAATAAAGCACTTATGAAATTCATGTGTTCGCATGTTAAATATTACAGATTGAACCTGCTGCTGGATTTACTCCCATTCAGACACAACAGCATCAGTGAGGCCCAACACTGATGCTGGTGATGAGGAGGACTCACTGGGTGATGAGCCGTTTCTTTATGGATCTGACTTTGCGTCATTGTTTCATCATGGTCATGACGAAACAGGGAAGGGACAAACAAAGTGTTGACACAAAGTTGGAATGATAATAGGTAACTGGCTGCATTTAGATGGTGCTTTTACCCAAAGTGCATTGCAATTTGCCTCTAAATCACCTATTCACACACTCACACTGAGAAGCAAGCTATTTTCCAAAATATCATTGTATGTTGCAGCATTTAGAGTCCTCCACCGATTTAGCATTGCGATGCTGTAACACTGTCAGATTCACAATGGACAGTTTGTTTTTTTTAAATGCAGCAAACGCAGAGAGATGTCGTCTTTTTTATTCCACACAGTCTTCATCCTTGTCAAAACTTGACGCCTACGTTACCCACAATGTGTCCAATCAATCAACTGAAGGACGGCTTCATTTTGTGTAACTCATATCAGATTCTAAGGGAAAAATCAAGGGAGAGCTGGGTCTCTCTGAGTTGTCAGGCTTCATGGACGTTGTCTTTTCACATTGGTCAGATAACCTTTTTCATCTTTCGCTCATCTTCAGGTGACGTTTGATCTCTCTCCTGGTCGCTTTCCTTCGGTATCTGCATATTAGACATTTTGTCAGGCCTCACTTCGATACGATGCTCAAAGAATTCAACTTTTATGACCCTATGACTAGAATCCCAACCTCCCCCTCCACATTAGAGAGGCGTGGATTAAGGACACTCGTGAGCAGATTTCGAATGAGTTACGGGAAAAGGGGTTAGATGGGATCAAAGCATGTTCTATCAATGCCAGACTTCAAGTCATCCATCGGCTTCACTTCTCCAAGATCAAATTGAGCAGAATTCTTCCTCCTGTCTCTGTGCAAGATGTGAAAAGTGTAAGTTGAGTGACGGGACCTTGGTGAGCTTGTCTGGTCTTGCCCTGAGCTCAGGAGTTTCTGCGATGACATTTTTCATTTGTGCAGCGACACGTACAGCCGAGAGCTAATCCCTGAGTGTCTCTCTGTGATACTGGGCCGCTCCAACTACTCTTTGACTCTTCCCCCTGTATCACAACACGCCCTCAGGCTGGGTATGGTCATAGCAAAACAGATTATCATGAGAGAGCTGAAATAGCTTCTCTTTGCTTTAAAATGAGCTAAATGACACCGTTTCTTGTCTATACCTCAGAGACATTCATTACTCCGTCCAATGCGACATTTCTTAAGATCTGAGGACCCATTGTTGAACATATTAGGAGGGAGAGCCGTCGACCTGGGAACTAATCATATCAGACTGTATTGCACTGTGCTGTGCTTTGATCCACCAGGATTTCAGTTTACTGTCCTTCCAAAGTCTGACTCTGTTCAAAGGCAAACTAAAACCACCTGCAAAGCTCAGGACAACCAGGCAAGTCAATCAAATGATGACAAAGAGACTCAGAACAACCTCAAAGAAACAAAAAGCAACATCAAAGAGACTCAGAACAACTACAAAGAGACAAAAGACCACAAACAGACAAAAAAAGAACATCAAAGAGACTCAAACCGACTAGAAAGAGATACAAAATGACCTCAGCTGCTCAGACTGACTCCAAAGAGACAAAAAACAACATCAAAGAGACTCAAACCGACTAGTAAGAGGTACAAAACGACCTCAAAGAGACAGAAACTGACTACAAAGAGATGCAACATGACCACAAAGAAATTAAAATTAGCACAAAGGGAGGCAGAACTACTGCAGGAGACACTAAACAACTGCAAGAAACTGTGATTTGAGCGTCCTCCTCCTGTGTAGGAGGGTCCTGGGACCTTTTACATCTCTGTACCCGGGGGCCCATTGTTTGCCTATTTGTACAAAAAACCAAAGTGTAAAAGTGTGGTTTTGTGTGGCCATGAAATAGTCCGGCACATAACGTCCTATAGAACCACAATTAAATGTCCAGCTCTTTATTTCATGTCATGATGAGCTGTTTCCTGCTCGTTAGACTCCATTAAAGACGATTCTGTGCTCAGTGTGTGCGGTGACCACGTGATGAGCCCCCCCCCCACTCCTGATCTGTCTATCTTTGCTGCATCGCAACGCTCTGCCGTTACCATGGCAACTATGGAGCACAAAAAGACATGCTGTTTTTTTTTGGTTTTTTTTACATTTGCTTTAAAGCCTCAAGATTCAGACAGATGTGGTGATGTCATTCCCTCCGCGGCGTTCGCTTGTTAGCGTCTGAGAAAGTATCTGATGATATGACAACCTGTCTGTCAAACACACACACAGACACACACACAGACACACACACACACTCTCTCTCATGGTGAGTGAGGTTGCTGAACACCCACTGTTTTCAACTCATTTTCTGTCATTTGTCGTCCCCCCATCCTCAGTCCGTGCCCACATCACCACGGTAACCAGGCCACCACACTCAGTCTGACAGTCTGATTCCAAAACTGACAGTGGTCGATTGATTCTCCCGGCACGATCACTTCGATCAATTATCAGTAGTGCTATTACATCATCATCATCATCATCATCATCATCATCATTACATCATCAGCCAGCTGATCGTGTGAGGTGTGTTTACTCACATTCCTCTCAGTCGAATCAGGACCTGGTTGTTGTGATTCTGCTCCAGAGCATCCACAAACTCCTGCGCCTCCTCGATCTGCTGCTGCTCCTTCTCAAACTCCTGCTCCTCTTCACTCTGCTGCTGCACAGTCCATGACACCCCCTCAGTCCGCGCTTCTTCCTCCTGCCGCTGCTGTTGCTGCTCCTCCTCCTCCTCGGTCTGCTGCAGCTCCTCAACCTGCTGCATCTCCTCCTCCTCTTCTACCACCTCACTCTGCTGCACCTCGTCCTGCTTTTGTTGCATCTCCACTTCTTCCTCCCCCTGCTGCTCCTGTTGCTGCAAATCCTCCTGCTGCACCTGCTCCCCCTCTACCTGCTGCACCTCCTCAGCCTGTCTGTCCTCCTGCTGCTGCATCTCCTCCTCCTCCCCTTGCTTTCCCGCCTGTTGCATCTCCTGTTGCTGAACCTCCACCTCCTCCTGCTGCTCTCCCTCCTGTTGCTGCACTTCCCGCTCCTGCAGCTGCAACTCCTCCACCTCCTCGTTCATCTCAGCGTGGGTGAGAAGGAGGAGAAGGAGGTGTTTGGAGAGTTGTTGTGTTCACTGAGTGGAGTTTGTTCTCCGAGCGTCCGGACGTCTCTCAGACTGACGGAGTCGTGAAAACATCGACACCAATCGCAGCCGTTTGGGTTCAATAAAACTTCGTCCAACTTCCTGTGACGTCACCTGTCAGCCCGGCCAATCCAAAACAAAGAGCTATGCCGTGATCCGTAAGGGAAGCGGAAGGGTTAAAAGGTCACAAGACAAAAGTGGAGTTTTTGTTTTTTTTTTTAAAGTTGACGAGCAGGAACAGACTGACGGCATCTGACAGGTAAACGAGGTGATCAGCTGGTGACTTCCTTCAGTTCGAGCTCTGCACTCCGGCACTGCGGCGGAAAAATGATCCAGCTGAATGTCCCAGAGCATCGCCGTAGCAACGCACAGAGGAAGTCGACCGGCAATAAAGACAGGATGGAGTGAGAGGGAGAGAGAGAGGGGGGGGGAGAGAGAGGGGAGCGATGGAGGAGGACAAAGGAGAAGCAGAGAACATCGCGCAGCGTTTCCGTGGTAACTCAGTAACGGTTGCTAAGAGTGATGGAATCCTGCAGCTGACAGACCTCCCTCCTCCTCCCTCCCAAATTCAAACACACATAACTTTACGCTCCGTTCAGATGCAAACAGCAAACAGGCATCTCAGTCTGTCCTCCACTCCCGCAGCATCTGAGAGAGAGTGTGTGTGCTGAGCTGAGCTGTGTGTTTTTCCTGTGTAAGAGTGAGAGAGAGAGAGTGTGTGTGTGTGTGTGTGTGTGTGTGTGGTTTTTAGACAATGATGATGTAATGTTCCTGAAAATGAGAGTCACAAAAACCTCTCGAGTCAAGTGGCAGAGCCAGACAATCAGTGTGAGGTCCTGCTGACGCCCCCTACAGGCTGCAGAGGTCATTACAGCCCCAAAATGAAACCACACGTATTTTAAAACTCATAAACCCATAAATTTGCTTATTGTTGCACCGTCCACCTCCGCTGTAAAGATTTGGAGGGACAGGACTCAACAGCAGATATCAAGGGAATCAGCCTGAAAAATAAACTTTCCAAATAAACATGAATCATTTCAGTCTGACCGAACGGAAACACAGAAAACTAACTGCGTAGGGATCGATATCTGGGCCAACTCACCCCACACACTCATCATCTACGGTTCTACTGTCTCCTGAGGAAACTAAACACAGTGGCGGATTATCCTGTGGGGTCCTATGAGGACGAGTCACTTCACTTTGACACAGAGAAGAATTGAGGCCGAGGTGGAAAGACAACAGAACCCAGTGTTGTGCATGAACACGCTGGTGAATGATGAACTGGATTCAATTCAATTTTATTTGTATAGCACCAAATCATAATATACATTATCTCACGGCACTTTACAGGGTAAGGTCTAGACCTTACTTTATTATAGAGAGAAACCAACAGTTCCCACAGAGAGCGAGCAGGCAGCAGGTGGGAGGAAAAACTCCCTTTAACAGGAAAAAACAACAGAACCGGACTCAAATGGATCTGTTTACAACTAATGAACACTGAATGTGACCAGAAGGTGGCGGTAGTGACCCAAAAAGCTGTTTGCCAACCTCCAAAAAAAATCACCAGAAGAAGAAGAACTGTGTTTCAGTTTTACAGCGGCATGAGTCGGTTTACGGCAGCCGGCATGTGGCATGTGGCAAGTGCTTTTGAAGAGTTTTATGAACAAATAAAAAGATTCAAACGATAAAAATCTGAATAAACAGACGCATCAGTAACAAATGTGAAACGACACATCGAGGTGAAGCATCCGACCATCTTTAGAAATATCTGAGAGAATGATGATCACAAGAAATCATTAAGAAAGAGTCAGACTATGAACCAACAGCTGAGTCAAACTCACAGCATTTACACATGAAACATAAACTCACATTGGTTTTTCTCATGTTTTAACAATGATCTCTGTCTGTGACTCTGAAGCAGTGAACAGTGATTCATGCAGTTTGAGAAGTGGCAGTGGTCTGAGGCTGAGGATGGATGACAGGAGGAGGTTCTACTGACAAAGAATTAAAAAGAAACAGAAGAAATAAAAGTAAAGGAGTTTATTTTTTGGGACTGAACTTGGTTCAAATTCAAAATTGTGAACTATGAATGTTAACTAGTTCATTTTAACCTTTGTGAACTGAACTTCAACACTGACAGAACCGCAGGGTGTGTGTGTCGTATCACTGCAGGAATTTCTTTGCTACTTCTTCTCTGTCACAAACACAGGCTGAATGGACACATGTAAACGGAGAGCATGTTGTTCCAGATTTAGATCCCTGCACAGTGAGACAGGTGACTACTGTGTTTGCTTTGGGTCAGACTGAGACACGAGGCTCGTGCAGCTCTCCCTAAACCCAAACCCTCGTTTCCCCTGAATCTCTAGAACGGAGGCGGCGAGCGCAAAGTTAGCACGATGAACAGAATTAACAGAATTAAACCAGAACTAAAGTAAATCCACTGGGTTTGTCCTCAGGGGAGCAGGAATATCTCAGCACTTAAGAGGATTTAGTACTGTACTTTTATAAAGCTGGGGGACTTGTCTAAATCTAAGCAGCAGAAGCCGATATATCCCTGAGTTTGACTTTTACAAATTACAAGGTGTAACCCTCTTTCAAAAGCTGGGTCGTCATGGTGACACATACCAATATTCAACCCAGTTTCTGCCCCCCCCCCCCATGACATCTTTGTCTTTTTTTTCCAGTGGGAACAGATGCTGCTGGAACTCCAAGAGTTTCTCATCCAGATCCACTGAGCTGAACGTGTGTGTCTGCAGAAGAGCTAATATTTTCCCACACTTCTCTTCTTCTGTTTAAGTAACGGACAGAAATGTCTCCTGATACACAAACACAACGGATGAGGCAGAGATGAAGGAGATGAAGCTCTGAGTAAACCATCAAAGATCTTTCAAAGCTTTCACGAAGGTGTACTAGAGGCAATTTCATCAAGTACTCTTTAAAGCCTCCTGAGGAGAAGTGCAGCTTTAACGGCGGAAAAAAACTCAGGAAGAGCAACAGAGCACAGACATGCAAGAGCAAACGTGTCTCCAAGAAATGACATTTACCTACAACTAATTCGCAAAAAGCAAATGTCATGAAGGAAACGCAGTGCCAAACTTTCTATTATCAATAATAAAAAGTTGTTAATTATTAACATATTTGTCAAGTCACAAACGTGTTGATACTGACCACATCAGTATTTGTAGTAGTATCGGATCTTGCAGCACTTGAATCTTAAATTTCTTACCGGGTCTTGGGGCTCTTCACAGCACAGTGATTGGTGGTTCCGCGGACTCGCCTCCCGAAGCTGCACCGGCTCCTGATTGGATGCTGCAGGTGACTCGCTTTGATTGGCTGCAGAGAGTCACCTGATGGAGAGAGAGGAAGGAAAAGTTTGAAGTGAAACTTTGATTTTCAAAACTGTTTGGCCTCTTAAATATATCGGTTTAGTAGAAGTGTGGGGGAGAATACAGACAGGGGCGATCCTGAGGGACTGATGACGGAGTTCAACAGTAAATGAAAGGTCACATTGGATGACTGTGAGGGTGATTTCTGCAGAATCAACATGATTCTTTTCTCTCTCTCTCTCTCTCTTTTCTGTCTCTGCACAGCTGACCCTCCCAAAACTGCGAGAGACGTCAGCCCTAAAAATAGCCGAAGCTAAAAAGACTGTAGAGGTGAAATTAAAAGGGTCGACAGCAGCAACTGGGACCAACTGAAAACTGGAGAAAACAGGGGAAACAGGAAACTCTTTATTTTAGTTTTTAATTTTACTTGATCTACTTTTTATATCTGTAGGAGAAACTTCTGTAAATTATAGTAAATATGAAAATGTATACATCACCTTTGTTTTGAAAGATTTCTTTTCCTCCTGTATTTTCTCTTTTTGTATTTGGTTGTTAGAATAAAAGTGATTAAAAAAGAGAATGAAACGTGTGTGTGTGTGTGTGTGTGTGTGTATGTGTGTCTCCCTCTTCTGGTCAGTCAGTGTTAAACCAGTTAAACTAGTTCATTTTAAAAAGCTGGTTTCGGAGATTTCTGCTGCAGGTCAAAGAACTGAAGAGACCAGAACAGAGACTAACAGAGACCAGAGGAGGGTAGAAGAGACCTTTAGAGACCCACAGAGACTAGAAGAGACCAGACGAGGCCAGAGACTGGAGGAAACCATGCTTTGAGACCTGAAAAACACCCTATGAGACCAGACTTGAGACTAACAGAGAGCAGATGAGACCAGAAGCAGCAGCTGTGTGACCAGTGAGAGATTTGGTTGTGTCCCTTCTGACATCAAACATCTTCAGACCTGTGAGGCGAACAGTGGAATTAGCAGTGTGCCCATGTTGTCCAACACAGCGGCTCTTGTGGTTGTAAACAAACCCTCATGGCAACACACTGGCTGTCTGATTGGTCAGCTGGCTAATTGACTGTTAATTGGTTCTTCATAATCAGCAAAAAACGCTGAAGAGACAATTAAAGATGATCATGTGGGCGGCTGGAGGAGAGTGAGTGTGTGTGTGTGTGTGTGTGTGTGTGTGTGTGTGTGTTTCATTAATATATTCAGGTCTTTGTTTATCAAAAGGCTTTTGAGGCAACAAGTAGAACAACATGAGCAGAGCTGAGAGACACGTTTATTTTTAAACCTCCATCCGACAGAAGCTGTAAAACACTTCATCTTAAAAAGTAGGTCTTAACGATCCCTCCAGACGTGTTTGAGGACATCACTGAAAAATCCACAATCTGTAAATATGTTATTTAATTTCAAAGGTGTGATGATTTTTGTAAGTTGCATACTGGGCTGTGATTGGCTCCAAACTAGCTGTGATGTCATAAATCCTACAAGTGTTTCAGTGGAGCTGAGCACAGAGGAAACTTCCTCCTCCAGCAGATTAATGTGAAAACAGATCAATCACAACAATGAGCCACAAACATTTTTCGAACGTCAGGGGACTTTAATAATCTGAATGTTTTTATTACTTTAATGGAAAAATTCAAATAGTTTCATTTTAAGATCATTTTGTAGCACAACTAAATGTGCAAAGTGTCTAAACGTTGACCCAGTGTTTCATTTCGTTTTGTTTGGCCAAAATGTCAGCATTAAATATTCATTGCAATTTCGTCTTTGCGCTTCTACACTGCTCAGAAACTATCCACATCTACAGAAAAAACCTATCTGATGGCTAAATATTATATGACAATGAACACGGAGGACATTTTTAAAAAATGACAAAATCCATGTTCGCTGCAAAAGTACATTTTTATAATTTAAAAGTTTGTATAGGAGAGAGCTAAGACTGGTGTAGAGAGGCAGAAAACGACTGACCTGTCACTGTCTGAACCGGAGACTCCTCACGTGGTGCCACCATCACCACCGCCATCTTCCTGTCCAGAGACGAGCAGAAGGAGCCCATCGTCAGCAGAAACCACAGGAGGAGGAGGAGGAGGAGGAGGAGGAGGAAGATGGAGACTCCAAACAGACGGAGGACTCTGAATCTCTGTGTTTTTCTACCTGTTGGAAAGACATCTTCCACCTGCTTTCATCCACATGCTGCTCAGCACAGCTCTCCCTCACTGTTGCTGCTCTCTCTCGCTCTCTCTCGCTCTCTCAGACGCAGAAGTGCACTGAGGTCTCTTGCCCTTTTAAGCAGGAGGTTGAAGCCAGGAAAGGAGGGTCAGTGAGTTTGTGTGTGTGTGTGAGAAAGAGAGATCACATTTTTTTTTCAGTTTTAATTCATACTGCAGCAACTGGATTCAGATTGTTTCCTGTTGCAACACTGAATCTCTCCTCACCTGGGAACTCACCATGAGCTAAGCCCCGCCCCTTGTAGTTTCTGATGCTACACCTGTCAAACTTTCCTCTATTGTACAGTACATTGCCAGTAATGGTTGCCATGTTAATTCACAGTCATTTTATAAACCTAAAACAAGCTATGAACAGCATATAGCAATAGCATTTTAGCACTTCTTGTTCTCTAGTCCCGAAGTCTATTGGTCTTTTAAATAAGTTTTTGTTTAGATGCCTGAAATAAGTCTGTGGTTAACACAAGCTCATTACATTTTCACGTTTTATTCTATGTCATAAAAGATGTGGTTAAATATTTCAGTCCTTATTTCTTTAAGCTTTTACATGTGGTAAAAAAGGCCGGCTGCCAAACTGTGACCAACTGTAAGAGGAAAGGCTTTTGTAGAAGAGGTCAGAGCTAAATCAAACTACAAGTTGAAGTTTAGTGGTGGTGACGTTGAAGTCATGTGTCCATGGTGTAGTTGGTTTATAGCCTAGCATTAGCTTTTTACATCTGCTGATTGTATTTAGGCTTAAGATGATCCTGCTGAACAAAATCAGGATCATTAACTGTTGTTTGTCACACAGGGATTTTTTTCTGCAATAATCCAAAAAACAATGTTAAAATCCCATAGGCTTTTTGTTGAGGGAACCAAGGTGTGGCTAACATCCAGGTTGGCCTACAAAAATACGTCATCCCTGGTTGCAAAACTCTATAGCCACGTGAGGCTAGCTCCAAAAGTGAGTCGATCCCCATGGGCTCCCATGTAGAAATGTAAGACTTTACAGCAGGAATAAAACTGGCACAAAACAGTTTTGGTTTCTGTGTTATAACTCACCCATTTCAATTTTATTAAGGCTCCAAGGTGTAAGGGTATGTCGCTTTAAGTGACAGGTGGGACAGCGTACTTACCACAAACCGACACGAAGAGCCATGGCACTAAAGTCTCGGCTCCACTCGTGTCCACTCGCCGGAAGTTAAAAACAGTCAGGCACTTGCAAGATGGCGCCGGCGGAGCAGCTCACTCTGAGCTTCAAACCTGTCTTCTCCCATTCTGCAAGGAGCCATGAGCTGCCCTCAGCCGTAGCTACCTAGCTAATTAAGCTAACCTTAGCTTTTTAATGTTTTCCGACTGACTCATATTAAAACGACAAGCATGTCAAAAGGTCTTGAACATAAACTTGATGACGACATACATGATAGTATGCTAACAGACTGAGGCTAATGCTACATGTCCCGGGCAAAGAAGTCACCGTCCTCACCGGTTGACGATCTCTGTAGCAGCCATGGAATCAGCAAAGGTCGGTAGCCAATTGTTATGCTGCGTTCATGACACGTCGGAAAATCGAAAATTTTAACCCCCGACTGGGAAAAAAGGATTCAAACCTATCAACAACGATTTTTTTTACTGGGAAAATCGTGCTTTATACGCGACTTGACGTCATAACCACTACAATCATGGCGTCCTCTGTCCTGACTGGTGAGAACAGAAATATTACAAACGCTATTTAATTAATTTTAATAAGTCATTTGCTGATGTAGTTACAGTCTTATTATAATGGTGAAGTCACAAGACTACAGATAGAAGTACCTTAGACATTTTCCATCTTGCTCAGGTGGCAAACAGCTGCAATAACTAGTTTATGTGATTGTTGTAAAGACAACAACAAAGTACAAAGACAATACTATAGTTCCATCCTCAAAACATCTGATGCAGAAAAAAATTATACAAATTAATTAAATTATGTAAACATAAAAATGCAAATGTATTTTTCATACATGTATGTGTTCTAGGGCTACACTGGACTTAATGAATATCAGCAAAGCAGGAGAAGCAGTCAGCAGGTTCTGTTTCAAAGTATTTAATCTTTTGATTGTAATCAGTCAGGTGTGAGTACTTACAGCTGAGTGGTTATATTTCAATACATAAAAGAGAGTGCACATACAGATCAAATTCTATCATATTCTCTTGAATAAACAACAACAATGAACAATTCTAAATCAAAAATCAGTACATCAATACGTTCTCACTTTAAATATATAATCATGTGAGAACAAACCAAAGAGATTAGATGTACAACTTAAAAGGGAAGCACCTCAGCTAAAGGGCAAACAAAGAATGAGCTCAGGACACAGAACAAACAATATCAGAGGCACCTGTGTGAGCTGCCCAGTTAGCACACCTGTTCTCCTGCTGCTAAAGATAAATTTCCCCCACAATATATTGTTCTAATGCTAAGCTAATGTAACAAAGCACAGACATGACCATAAGAACGACAGCACCAAAACACTAAGAAGACGTCATCAATAAAAACAAGAAAGGCATTTGGAGTCAATCATGTCATTTGGTTTAAAAATCTGGACACATTTAATCAAACCTATCTGCACAGGTAGATACCAGTAGAGGGAAGAAAGAATTTATTCAGATGACAAATCCTTCCTTTCATTTCCAGCTTGTAGAATCTTGTGTCACAACTGTTTTAAAGTCAAAGTAGTATTTCATATCAACCTCACATTCTCACATAATGAACTATGAAACCAAAACAGAACCAGAGCCTTCCTCCTCAGTCCAAAAACAGATCCTACACTGTTAAAATCCCAAAAATTTGTTCACTAAAATATTTGTTTTTAAGTTTTTTTCATTAAAATCTAACTTATTTGTTCTGTCTAAAAACAGCATGAACATTTTCTCTTGATCCGTTAGTGTTTGGATCCGTTCATCGTCTGAGTTTTGTAACTCCTGAGTTGGTCCAGGAAGCCAGGGTTCGGGGAGGAGGCGGGCCGAGCTGATTTGACCAATGAGAGGGCTTCATTGAAGGACAGGCTGTCACATGACATCAGGTAGCCCATGACCACAGCCGGAGCCCGGGACACGCCGGCGTTGCAGTGGACCAACACCACACCTTTCTGAGAGCGAAGTAGATGGAAACATTAATACTAAAGCTGCATGATTTTTTTTCTCTCCACAAGAAGTTGAAAAACACACAGTCCTGGCTAACGTGTTAGCAAACAGTTAGCTATTAGCAGATCCAGCAAACACAGAGCAACATAATCATCCCCCACAGAGTCCTGGTCTCAGCATCATGGAGTCAGTCTGAGATCACATGAAGAGACGGAAGGACTGAGGCAGGTTCTCCAAGATGCTGGAACAACCTCCCCGACAACTACCTGAAGAACTGTACAGGTGTACCGAGGAGAACCGGTGCTGGTTTAAAGGCAAAGGGGGGGGTCAGAGCAAGTACTGATCTGATTTAGGTTCTTTCTGCAGTTTGAATGAAGAAAATATTCATTGCGTTATTTTAGAAAGCATCCTCACTTGAGTTTTGGTGTCTAAAGCTTTTCCACAGCACTGTTAGAAGATTATCACAGACGCATTAACATGTAAGCAGCACTATACTGTAAAGCTAATAACAGTAACTCTACTGTACCACTGGGGAGTATAATCCAGCATTACACTTTATTATCTGATTATATGTTTTACATGTAAAATTCTTTTCTTTGTGCATTTTTACAATGATTTAGAATCATTTTCCTGAGATACAACAAACTTAAAGCTTATTGTGTTTTTAAGAGTCAGTGAGAGATGATTGTTGGGATAAAAACATAAACTGCAGTGACGCTGTCTGAACACTAGAGGGATCCACAGATTAACAGATCAGATGACTTCAGTCTGTTCGAGCTGGGCTCAACACCACATCGAGCTCCTCCACTGACGTGCTGTTTAGTTAATAGGTGTCTTGTTTGTTGGTGTCTTTTGGTTTCTCATTAGCTTCTCCATTACAGCCTCTGTTTTCCTGCACATGGACGGTTTGCACCACAGGCTGTGTCCCAGTTATCAGGCTGAACCACAACCAAACATAACAACCTTCTCATGTGACTCCGGACAGGAAAAGAAAACAAGAGCATTTCCTAAACCGTCACAGTTTTCCGTTAAGACAGTCTGATTCAGGTTTGGCGACTTTTGTCATTTTTCTTATCAACAAAAGCCAAACAAAAAAAAAAAAAAAAAAAAAAATTGTAGGTAATTAATGAGAATATGTGTACAAATCTGAACGAAACAAAACAAAACAAAATTAAAATGTAGGTACAAATAAGAATGAAATCAAAAATCTGTTTTGGTTTGAGCTGAACCAAAACTTTGCGTAAAAGGTTAAAGGCTAAAGTTTAAATTAAATCCAACTTGAAAATTGTGGTTAATGTGTTTTCAGCTTTCTACCATGATTTTCAGTATTTGTAACACAACTTACAGCTCAGGTTTATCAAAAAAAAAATCTGGGTAAAAAACTGTAAGAAAAAAGAAAAAGAAAAATGTAAAATATCAATATGAAATACTTGCCTATCTATATTATTATATATAAATATAATATTTATCTAAAAAAATGTGATCTGTAAATTGTGTTAACCTGCTGAAAATTATGATTTAAACCAGGAAAAAACACATTTAGTATCAACACCACATTATATATCTGTACTGCAGTCAGGAACTGGGTCACATGATGGTGTTCTGGTTGTTGCTCTTGTTGTCATGACAGCATCAATAACTGATGGTCATTACCATCCAGATGGCCTGCTGCGTAATCTGACCCCGCATTTCAAAGTAAAAGCATCAGTTTGATTATCAGGGCTGGAATTTCCACATACACACATAGAACCATATCATAATGAACACACACACACACACACACACACACTTCCTGTAATCATACACCCCTAATGACTCCCTAATGACTCGCCGTGTGTGTGTGTGTGTGTGTGTGGTATCATGTTAAGGTGAGTCGCAGGCTTCGCTGCTAAAAGCTTGTATGACACTGAGATCTGATCTGTGTGCAGTTTAATAAAACATGAACAAAACTACACATCTATTATTTAAAACAGAGGAAGAGGAGAGGAAGAAGAGGAGAGGAGAGAGGAGGCAAGGAGAGGAGAGGAGATGTTGAAACGTGTCACATGTCAACTCTTCCCTCCTTTTAAGACCCTTAGATCTGTTTCCTTCTGCCCATAATCCCTCGGCATTATGGGATTGTTTCTGGTTGTTTGACTTGATCCAATCACTTGGTTTCACCTGAGCTAAAGCAGCTCTCACCTTCATTGCTTGTTTAGTTTCCAGTAGTTTTAATGCGGCACTTCCTGTTTTAAGTCCACCTGAAATCACATTTAGTTATTAATCCTAAATAAATAAAGTCAGTGTTTTTGTTTTTCAATTTCATGTTAATAGTTTTATGTTTAATGATTTTATTAAGTTCAGTAAAGGAAGTTTTAAAAATCTCTGAATTTATTAAAGTATGTATCTTTCTAGTATTGGATGTTGGTCACGTTCCAGGTCACAGAGTGCAGGTCACACTAACATGATATGTGGGTGCCAGGTGAAAGTGAAGCAATATGCTTCATATATCTGAAGCTGTTGGCTGTAATATCTTGTGTTGTGCAGCGGCCTGTTGTCTGCCACAGTGTTCCTGTCTCTGCAAATATGGTTTAAAAAGACACAAATTTGATTGGCTGGATGAAAACAAAATATCCATCTATATGTCTCTATAGGTTTCTGATTACTGATTTACAGAGTAGAAACGATATGTCTGTTGTAGCAGGGGGTAAAAATGTTCTTTAATTTCAGCCGGAAGTTTCCAACGTCAGTTTCAAGATGTCTTTGCTGCTCTTCATCACGACTGTGTCGACCAATGAAATTTGCTCGGAGATGGGAAAAATTCAAGTTGTGATTTTTCAGCAGAGTGAGACATCCCTCGCTGTGTTTGCAGACAGGATGTTCACCTTCTGCCCATTTGTTTTCTGTTGATACAGTAGAGCTGAAATGATTTGTCATCTAATCAATTTGTTGACTGATAAGTGATTAATGGTTTCAATCATTTCCAGGATGAACTCCAGTCTCTCTCTCTCTGGTTCCTGCTTCTGAACTGTGAGCATTTGTTGCTTCTCTCTGTTTTATATCATTATTTTATATCAGTCTCTTTAGGAGCTTTTATGGAGGGAATGATAAATTGCTTCATTGATAAATTAAGAATAAATTGATGGATACAGTCTGTAGTAGTGACTGATGTGTTACCTCGCTGCGAGCCTGCTGGATGAAGTCACAACAGTCCTGGATGTGGAGCAGCAGATCGGCGTCGGGATGATCCAGAATACTGACGGTCTTATAGATGAACAGGTCGGGAAACACGTTCTCCACGCCGAAGGCCACGTTCAGGACGTGAGACACCTAAGGATGAAGAGGAAGAAGAGGAGGAGGAAGAGTGGTACAGCCATAAACAACAGTACAACAGAACAACATAACATTTATCTTCTACACTCTCTGCTTTATTTACAGACTTTTGTAAAAGTCATGTCTGAGACTGTGTCTACAGTAAGTGCGCAGTGGTTTCCCATGATGCTTTGGGTGATGTAAACAAGTGGTATAACGTTTCTATGGAGACAGGGAGTTAGCTAGTTAGGTTTTCCTTCAGTTTTTACGTTTACCTTAAGTTTTTTTTTTGTTTAACATTTTGCTGAATCTAACAAATGAATCACATTAATTCAGGTGAACCGGCCCTTTAAATGAATCTGTGTTGAATACTTCATATACTTACATCTGTACACACACACACACACACACACACATGCACAATCTGTTTTAACTGTCCTGTTGTTTTTATCATGTTTCATATTGATTCACTTCATCATTAACCTGAAATTAACCTGGTTTTTATGTTCAGAAGTTTAAAAAAAAAACTCACCTTGTGTTTTCTCAGAGTACCAAAGTCATGTGCAGCATCTTGAGAACCTACACACACACACACACACACACACACACACACACAGTTAGTGTGTAAGTTAGTTAACTAACACAGTTTTCATGTTTCACGTTTCCCTCCCTGACTAGAGCAGCTGCTCGGTTCGCTCAGGCCCAACGTGCCCAACATGTAAATTAGTCACGAGAAAACATCTACAGAATATCACTGTCCAATCAAAAGCCAAGAACTATGTAAATATACTCCGTCACTGTGGCATCACAAGCTCCTGCTCACACTGATTTATCTCTGCATACATGGAGAAATCTCTGCTTCAGGTTCTTTACACTTTATACTCACTTAGTCAAAAGTCACAATGTTTTTAGCACTTCTAAAGTTTCAGGTCAGATACACTGAGCCTCTTTGACTCAAGTTAACGTTAATTGTAACTACACAGCAGCTGAACCTGGCAGTTATTGTGAGTAATCTTTCAGTAACAGGAGAGTTGGTTGGTAACTAGTTGGTTAACTAGTTGGTTAAGTTGCAGAAACAAATGAGCGTCTTTGAAAACACCTTTTCAACACACACGAGGTGCAGTGTTTAAAACCCTCTCTCCTGCAGCTCTGAGGAAGAGTTTATAGTCACCTGTCTCTTCGGACAGGAGGAGAATGTGGGAGGTTACCTGGCTACCTTATCATGCTACAGGTGGAGGCACGTGCACTCACCCAGCAGCAGGTAGGGCTTGACGACGCCGACTTGCAGGTCCCAGGAAGTGTCGGGGACGTACCCGAGCATCTTCTCCGGGGGGGCGGGGTCTTCCACCACAGTGATGGTTGACCCCTTCCAGGTCTCGATGATGCGGCGGCCGCTCAGTGACGTCACGCGGGTGCACTGCTTCCTCAGCCGCGTCCGGGAGAAACTCTGGATCTCCTCGGTCAAGGACTGCATGACCAGACCGGACTGGACTGGACCGGAATGGACTGGAATGAACCTGAAAGATTAATAAAGTTATTCAGGTGAAAAAAAGATTAGAGTGTAACATGCTTCCATTTAATAATTAGCACTGAACAAGTCCAGCTGAGGCTCATGGGAACGTCATTAGTTTTGAAAATTTTAACCAGTTAGATAAAAAAGTCAGACGACCGTCAAGTTACTACAGTTCATCCTCAGAGGAACATGAACGAGTGAATCAAATTTCACTGCAATCCACACCATGGGTTTTGAGATAATTCACTAAAAACCACAAGTGAACCTCATGGTGGCGCTAGAGGACGAGTCAGAGGTTCACAGGAATCAGAGGGGTTCATCCTCAGGGGAACATGAATGTCTGAACTATATTTCATGGATTTTGATCTATTTCAGTTCGGAGCAAAGTAGCGGACCGACCCACCAGCCATCCGTAGAAAACCATGATCCTTCTGTGACCTAAATTACATCCTGATCCATGGTGATGCAGCTGCTACCTGTGTACAGGTAGTGACCACAAGCTGAACATTTTGAGGACATTAGACTGCAGCAGTGGTTCCTGTTAGTTTGTCCACCCCACTGTATATCACACTGACCTCTAGTAGCTATCAATGCATATTTAAATACACAGTAAAACAACAACAGGCAGCAACATACAGGTCATTATATGGTATTTCTGATCATCATGAATGTGGAAGAGCTGACCTGTCAAATAAATATAAACTCACTGCTGGGTTCACTCAGATAGAGCAGCACAATAAGCACAGAAATTAGTTTATGAACGTATCATCAGAACCTGTGTCTTCAGATGTTCGGCTTCGGTCCGGCTCTGGTTCAGCTGATGGAAGAAAGTCCAGTTTAAACAGCAGAAACCAGATCAGAGTGGAGATCCAGTTCAGTTTCCAGAACAGAAATACACACTTCTCGTTATCATCCTCTGTTCCACACAGAAACACTCAGTTCAGAGTGGAGCAGGTTGTTAAAGGTTAAAGACCAGTTCCTGTTGCTGACTAAACCGGGTCCAGAACAGATCCAGTCTTAGAAGCTGTGGTCCTCAGGTCCGTCTTTAGTTGAACTGGGAGGGTGAAGTGTGAACTGGGCCATCGCTGCTGGAGGTGAGGCTGAACTGCTGCTGTGTAACACGAAACCTGCCGTCGTTCACCACCGCTCTGTAACAGTGACAAATCCACCAGGTACGTAATAACAACACAGACACACACTGAAGTCCATTCAATGCAAATTATTCTCAGGTTTGTTTTTGATGCTTCCTTTGATTTCATTTGCAAAAAGAAATAAATAGCACGTCAAATAAATAGTGTAATTTTAGTATTATTGCGTAATTGAGAATTCCTCATACTTTGTTCTTTCTGTGTAATCAAAAGAATGAAAAATGAAACATTAGCTATGTTTGATCCACCTGCAGCTATATGTTATTGTATTACAAACATTACGTACAAAGGTGCGTTTGTTTTTCACTGCAGCTTTCACTATGAGCTGCTGCAGAAGTAAAGACCCATTTCTCAACTTCTTCTCACAATGCAGTGTACAACTTATTTTTTCCGACACTTTCACTTATTTCATCTCATTTTACATCAATGTTTTTAACATGATTTATGTTCATTTTATGTCTTTTCATGTCATTTCTTTGTTGTAAAGCACTTTCTATACAAGTAAAGTTTATTACTATTATTATTATTATTATTATTATTATTATCATTATTATTACTTATATCTCCTTTCCTCTTAAAAGCCCAGCTGTGACTCTCTCATTCCCCA